TATATTATTATTATTATTATTATTATTAGCCTATTATTATTATTTATCTATTTTTGTGCAATCAAATAATTAGAATTAAACTTATGCATAAAAATTACCTGACACAAAATGGTATCGACTTATATACACAACGAATGAGGATGTCCCTGTAAAGACAAACAATATACACGATAGAACGCCAATGTACAAACAAGGTCAATTAATTGTGGATATTCATATATGGACTGTTATTTGTGTATCTCTAATAGCCTCATTAATAAGTGAGAATCCAATACTTAATTTACAAGACTACACAAAAACTTAATCGAGACCGATATATGAAGGACTTACAATCGAAGAGAGGCATAAATAAGTAACTTAAGTCAGGGAGACAGGCCTGCAGCAGATGAGGAGGATATTATTCTCTCGTTGACCATCATTGCTCGGAGATTACTTTACGAAATTGTGTCAACGGAAAAGTTTCTTCTGTCGGTATGTTTACATTTATAAAGTCGTTGTTACTTATTAAGTGTTATAGGCTAGATAGTATCAGTGGCGGATCCAGGATTTCGAAATGGAGGAGGGCCCAGGGAGAGACGCAGATGGAGAGTTTATACCACCTCAGCCCCAACATGGTTGGGGCTGAGGTAAGGACATTTATGATTATGGCACCTCTGGCCGGAAATGGCACTCTCAGACCTAAATTTGGTTAACATTTTTCTTTTTTCTCCATTCTTTTATAATTTTGAAAGGTGGGGAGGGGACTCATCCACCCCCCTTCAATCTATATTGTAACCTGTGCGAGTCTTTTTATCGTAATTGTATTTTAATCGGTTTTGTGTGACCTGGAATTTATCACAGTGATTTCCTTTCTACACGCCTCTGTCAATGGCAATGACAGAGGCGTAATCAAAATTTAGACCAATTTGTATCGAAGTTTCTTATTTAATAAAGCCACAATACAGAGTTGTCGGACTTTGGGGCATATGTTAATGAACTATTGATTTATAGTTTACAGCACGACGGCTGCATCTTGTGCCACAGCGGGGTGTCTGGTTACAGTCTTCTAGAAGCTTTTTGGTTTTAGATTTGTTAGTAATCGTCAAAAAAATAATGATTTTTTTATATCATGTTTTACAGTATTCTAGTAAAGGGAAATGATTGTTTCTCCAGTCAAATCCTCCCTCTCAACGCTAGAAATATTGGAAGCGAAAATATTATTCGAAGCTAATGCCACCTTATTTCAGTGGTAGCTCCCCTCACTTAATCATCGACCCCCACCTTCGCTTTGTATTCGCCCCGGCCCTCAATCATTCCCCCATTTTTTTTTCAAGACTCATACGCCACGTCCACTCTATAAAAGACCCCACTTCTTAGATATTGTTGCTATGGTCACGCAAAACAATAGCGTAATACGTGCGTACCGTTTGTGGGATGGACAACGTGTGTGATTGGCCGTATTCGACTGGTCGTTCTTCGTCAAACCACGCCCACCTGCGCGCAGTGGTAAATCCTACTTAACGAAGACGATCAGTCGAATAGAAAACTTGTAAATACTCGACATAACAAAATGGCTGCATAGTTACCGAGATACACGCTGTGTAATCAAGATTGCTTCAGCTTGTGCCAGTATCGGGGTTTTTTTTGTAAAATATTTTCATCCAATTTTTGAATTCTGTTAGTCTACAATTATTTTTTTACTTCATGTGGGTAAATAATATAATTTTTATTTTCTGAAATTTAATCTAAATTATATTAACGCAAATGTTGTTTCTAAACTCACCAATCGGCCATGTTTGTTTTGGTCACGTGAATAACGTAACGCTGCTTAATGCACTCTGCTTTATGTTAATTTTCGTTGTCAATGAATTCTATTTTACAAACTAGTCGAATGAAAATAATACTCAAATAAAATTCGTAGTCAACAAAATGAACCAGTCGAATACGCCCATTGTAACACGCCGTATCTCTGGCCCTGTTCTGATTGATCCGTTGTTAAGTTTGAATAGCACTCCAGTAAACATCAATTTTATCGCCGTTCTGAAGGGACTTAAGCCCATTACTTTGTTAAAAATTATATCATCCAATGATACACAGATCAAACAAATAAGTTTTTACTGATTTAGGCCTACAGACAAAACTCCTTTAAAATGATTACCGAACGATTTAAGGGATTTATAATTGAAATGAGCATATGCCTATTATTTTATCATTTTATTTTCAATAAATGCTAACAGTTTAGCTTACTTAAATGAACTAGGCAATTCAAATATTAAACTTAGTCTTGATTGTAAATCACAGACGGTATCTGTAAAGCATGGAGAAATGTTACAAAGTGTGTGGGTGGGTTTTTAAGATTTGATTGTATATTAAGCCTATTCTGTTGTAATAGTTGTAGAAATTTTAGTATTATTAATAGCAAATATTATTAGTTTGTGGATATATTTTTAACCACAATGGGAGGAAAATAATGACGTATCGCAAGGATGATAAAGCAATCGAGCCCGACTATGGTGTATATATGATTGAAATGGTTTCCCTTGATACCCCTTGATACCCCTTGATACAGATACGGAATCGCATTGTCTCAAAGTAATTGTGCATACTGTATAATACTCTTACTGATATATTTATCTATAATTGTTATCACCGATGTTAAGTAGGTTAATGGGTTTGTACACACAATCTTAACATATCTGTTCTCGCATTTATTGCAGGTTAGGCCTACTGTACCTTCTTGATATTCATTGATTCCAATGTGGTTATAGTAATAACAATATGATAGTAATTGTTATTGTCGTGATGGAATAATAAACAATAACTGGATTTGCGTCAGGAGAAACATGTATAGGTGTAATTTTTGCCCTACCTGACGTGGAAATGTACCGAATACTCAGTACATTTGAAAATACTACAATTCCTACAGAGTAGGCCTATGACTGTTTATAACATCTATCGATTTATAGTGAAGCAAACACACGCTTGCACACACTACAATTATTATTCTTTTAATACATGCTGCAGTGCTTTAACCTTAGAATAATACGAATTACTTCTATTATATTATGAAGCTAAATCACTATAGTAACGTGAGTAACAACAAGTCGGCTACAAAAGAATCACCTGAGCCTCACGTTTATTACGGGAAATTGGTTAGCTTTCCATTGAGGGTGTTCAGTGCAGTCAAAGTCGACCTAGGCCTACATGTTTACTGCTGAACAAAAAAAATATATCACGTAGTGTCCTAAATACATAACAGCTATAGATTTTCCCTTGCAGTGCAGTTTTTTTGTATTAAATGCGATAAACAAGGAAGACAAGCACCTATCACGGAGAAAGAATATATTATTTCTGTTCCAAAGAGTTTCACGGCAATTACAATAGACAGAAAGTAAGTTTACATACTTTAACCAGTAAGATGAGAACACTATAGCTAACCAAATGCTTAGGCACCATATACTTTAAACGCTGTTAATTGTTTGACAATGTTTAGTTTTTAATAGTTATCGCTGTTGTCATTTTCATGTTTTTAACGTCACATATTTTACAATTCTAAACTGTTTTCCTGTTTTTAATTGTTTGTGTTTAATGCTCTTTGGCAATACCATTCTGTGTCTATTGCACCTTCGGCGCGGGGGCGGGGCAAGTAGAAGCATTGTTGTCGTATGGAAGTTGAACTTGTTAGAGTTAACCCGGTTGAACTTGTTAGAGTATATCCGGTGGAGGAATGATGGAATGAGTACTAAGTTAAAGATAATCAAAAAAGCAAGTTTACGAAATGTTATGCCATGTTAAGGCCTGTACCTAGTTACAGAGGGTTACAGTATAAGTTATCAATTGAATTGACAATAAAGTTGCTAGATAAGACCTGTCCTTAAGTTCACTAAAACGTCACAACAGACAAAAAAAACCACACACGCTCCCGCTACTTTTTACTAATGTATCTTTTTTGTAAACTTTCGATGTTGGTCAAATAAATGAATGAATGAATAATATAACTGTATATAACTGTAGTATAACTGTAGTAGGCCTATTTGTCATACACCTACCAATCAAGGTCTATAACTGAAAGATGTCTTTGATTTTGATTTTCGAAAAATGTGGCAAATCAAACTGTATCTGTGTACTATTTACGTATTAAGTTGCCTATGC